CCATGTTGCGCGGTAGTGTCTGACTATATTTCCAGCTATACTTGTTTCCGAGTGATCAACCGCAGATTCTGCTGCGTACTAAATAACTTTTCCTCGTCCATGCGAGTCTCCTGGATTTTGCCAATTCCGCGTTTATAGCGCACCGACGAGAGAAGAACACTGTGGACTCTCTATTAAAATACATATTTATACATATTATATTAACATTACAAAAATGGAGGTGCTACACGGATGTCAGCTCCAGCATCGCACTTTTTTAAAATCTCTTGAAAATGATTCAACAATAGGCCTTTTCAATAGTTCTCGAGAAGTTCTACAGTTCCTGATAGGTTTCAACAATTGTTCTGCTACGCAGCATCGGTAAAATATGTATTAAATATGCTTGGGGCATCATACACTTCAGTGCAGGCAGACATGAGTTGCTTGCTTTTGTCATATTAAACTTACCGAGCTTACACTGTGCGATCGAATTTAGGATTGCAAAGAAAAATAGTATTTAGGCTATATCCGATGAGTTGTCTCGTTCTAAGTGTTGCTTTGGGAACCAGCGATAAGTAGCGGAGGACCCTGCCCGCCAGGCTACCCGTTCGTGATCACGTTCAGCTCGGCTACGACGGGATATGCATTATCGACGGAGGCGATGATCACAAAATTCTATTCCCGGACTCGCCGCTACGATTTAGCGCCATGTTTTTGGTATCGCCTAAAACCGTAGCGTTGTGCATCTCCCTACTGATCTCTGACCAAAAACAGGCTCATTGGCAATCTCCCTACTCATCTCTGCCTTGATCTGGCACATCTCCTCATTGGAGGAGTTAGCCATAAGGAAAGGAAGGAAGGATCTCTGCCTTGATGAAGGCTTCCTTCAATCTCCAAGGCGTCTTAAAACTAGTATGCTGCAACGAATTTCGGAACACATTTTACAGTACTGCCAGTGTTTACAGTGTGTTACGGAACGCACCCCAAATTAGCGCAGTTTTTTGCTGAACGCAGCCATTGTCAACAGTTTTCGAAGTGTTTGAATATCAGAATTTGGCACTTGGCCCTCTACGAGGGCATAAAGCCACAAGGAACAAAGAGAAGAAGAAGAATATCAGAATCTTTTAGCTCAGAATTCAGTGAAGACTCACCACGTGAATTGTCTATCTGTATCAATCTGCATCCATTCATTTCAATTGCTTGGGAATAGAGAATATTGAAATTTCAGAATTCTACGTTTTATTATAACAGTTACAAGTTTAATTTCACCGGTTCAATGGATAAAAGAGATAAAAGTGATGTGCTTCAGCACGATTCCCAGTGCGTTGAAAAGGATAAGGAGTCTATTTTAATATCCGATAGTGAAGATGAGGATACTAGTCATTACTTGCAACGAGCACATGCACCATGGATTATCGACGGCAGTGATGAAAGTGATCAAGATGATGGGAACAATATCGTCTGCGAGTTAGTAGATTAGATTTATTTTCTTGTTTATTACACAAAAGTTATGATCATGACATTAATTGTATACCACCAAATGATTATATAGAAATACTTCAAGGGATTCAGAGCTCGAAGAAAGCTTTCCAAAATCAAGAAGTAACAATAGAGGTGTAGTTAAAACATTATTTGATGATGAAAGTGATGAAGAAAATGTTAATTATACTGTAAGCGATAATGATAGTGTGCATGATGTTGAACATTACGATGGACATGAAATTAACAATGGTAATTAGAAACTTTTATTCTTATGTATATATATATATTTTTAATATTATACAATTGTGTCTTTATTCATGATTCAGATTCTGACAAATTAAATATGCATGTTTTTGAAAATGAAGATAGTCCATCTAATGATAAACCAAAGAAAAAAAATGGTAGTGAATCCTCAACCACTTCTGAAGACTCTTATAGTAAATCAGCATCAAATCTTAAGAAGGAAAGTCCAATACAAGATAAGTTTCTTGATCTTGCTATGTCATTTGCAAAACAAGAAATTGGTGTTGGTTCTTGAATATACTAGAACCTTTTCATAGACCAACTGTTCTTCCGGATCGAGATTTACTTCTACCAATTCAAGACATTTATCTGGTAAATTATTTAAGCAGCCTTTAGCTTGCAACTCTTGCTTCGTTCTACGCAACATTAAACTTTTGATGACTGTGGCTAATGTTTGTTGTCCACTTGTATTTCTATTGTCCACCCAGCGCTTCCATACTCGCAGATCATCAAATGGAGAACACTTCAGAAATTTAAGGATAACATACATATCCGTTTCTTTATTCTGAATCAGTGTCCCTGTTAATGAAAAAAAATGGTGGTGAATCCTCAAGCACTTCTGAAGACTCTTATAGTAAATCAGCATCAAATCTTAAGAAGGAAAGTCCAATACAAGATAAGTTTCCTGATCTTGCTATGTCATTTGCAAAACAAGAAATTGGTGTTGGTAATGTAGATCCAGTTTTTGCACAAAAAAGAGCAACGTTAGTTTGCAATATGGAACAAATCAAAAGTCAAGTGACTAAATCCAAGGTAATGCCAACAATTAACATTTTGTTTTCTACAGTGTTTTGTGAAGCAACACATTTCCTTATAGTTACTATTGAGTGCTGCCAATCTTAATTTACTGCCTGATAGAGGAGAAAAGTTGCGACAAAGTATATATTGTCAAGAAGAAAAATTGGCAAAACTAACAGATGAACTAAAGAATTTGCCTTTGACAAAACCAATGGCTCTTCCTCAGTCTGAAAGTCTTGCAGGAACATCTAGCCAGATTCATTCTATAAAGAATTCCTACAAACTGGAGGTATTACCTCCAACAAATAAACTACTTGGCAAAAAAGCTCAGGAAACTTTTGATCGAGAACGTACATTGACCATAGAAAGACTGGAAGATCTTCACGCATCCCTTGTACGACGTCCCACAGACGATCAGGCAGCGACTGATCCAAGATGACTGAAAGTTTCTTTAATGTTTCATCAACAGCATGCTCTTGCTTGGCTTCTCTGGAGAGAGCAGCAAAAACCTGCTGGTGGAGTATTAGGTAAGAAAAAGTGTAAGAGAGAATTAAGATAATCCGTTTAATTTCAGATTAATTGGAAGAGAGTGATTCTTGGCGAGGCACATGTAATAAGAAATCACAAAAGCCAAATATCAGAGTCTGTTTGTAAGCTCGTAGCACGTAGGCGTTGGGCATTAACAGGGACACCGATTCAGAATAAAGAAACGGACATGTATGCTATCCTTAAATTTCTGAAGTGTTCTCCATTTGATGATCTGCGAGTATGGAAGCACTGGGTGGACAATAGAAATGCAAGTGGACAACAAAGATTAGCCACAGTCAGCAAAAGTTTAATGTTGCGTAGAACGAAGCAAGAGTTGCAAGCTAAAGGCTGCTTAAATAATTTGCCAGATAAATGTCTTGAATTGGTAGAAGTAAATCTCGATCCGGAAGAACAGTTGGTCTATGAAAAGGTTCTAGTATATTCAAGAACCCTTTTTGCACAGTTTCTTTCACAAAGGGCGGAAAAGAACCATACGAATGAACTAAATGCTGGGAAATATGATAAACCATACTTCATGTCAGAATGTAAGATATTTCCTATCTTAAAAAATAATCTTTTACAGACAATCGTTTCCAATAATTTTATAACTTTTGGAAGTGGGAATGGGAGGAATTTTTCAAAAAGAATATTATAATGATTTTAGAATTTATGTTGTATAGAAAAAAGCTTTATTTCCCCTCGATGCACTTGAAAAATGTAATAATGTATCTTTTTCTTAAGGGATAATTTTTGTCTAGAGGTAAGAAAATAATCGTCATTTTTTAAAATTATAATGTATATGGGCTTTCAATTTTTGTTTACAATTAAGACAAGATTTAAATGTATGAAAAAAATTCTTTTTATGCATTTACATTTATGATTTTATTACAGGTCGCTGCTGACGTCGGTACCTTCGGGAAAAACCTCTCGATTGCGGCAAAATTACACTTCGTAGATTAATCTGAAATAAATCGAATGGTTTCTTAATCAGTATAAGTGTGTCTATTGCAAGTAACTCCATCAGACTTTAAACACGAAAAGTTTTTACTTTAAACACCATAAACTGCGAATAAAGTTCATCAATAATCGGTAAACAATTTTTAACTGCGCACCATTGAAGCACTTATTAACTTTTTGGTTTGATAGCAGTTCCTGCAATCGCTACAGTGATACAGGTTGAAAATCCGTTAGATTTTTTTGTTCCCTATCAACCTACGAGCTGTAATTTCGCCACCATTAAGATTTGTCTTCCCGAAGTCATCGACTGTAGCGTCCCTTATAAAAAAATGAAATGCATATACATAAAAAAGATTTCATATACTTCTGAAGTGTCTTTATAAATTGTAGTAAATTTCCAGTCTGTATGCGTATGGTACAGGTTTAACAAAAAAAAATTCCAGGATTTACATTATTTTTCAAAGAATTACATTCATTTAATATTCTAATCGAATATGTTTTTTTTAGCGAATGAAAATAGAATAGCATGATTGAAAAAAAAACTATCAATTCACTTGCTAGTTTCGCTTATGATTTCGTAATTTTTTTTTTTTTGGAAAGAAACAAAATTTAAGAGGAAATAGAACAGGCTATGTGTATGGGTGTGTTGTCACACGAACGAGGTCCAAATCGAGGAAACTGCACTTAAAAATCTCGACAGAAGGCACTGTCAATTAATTTAATATACAAAATTGAATCCTTCTGATGAAACGTCTTTCCCTGTGGAGTTAAATTTGATTTTTCTCCGATTTGTGAGTTTTCTGTCGTTGCGATTATATCTCGGTATAGATACCCAATGCTATACTCTGACGTTGCACGCGGGTTGTGCAGATACTTGTCCGTGCACATCAGAGTACAGCATCGTGTATCTCGATATACAATTTACATCGAAAAACACTCGCAAGGGCAGTAAACTCGGAGGTCGTAGGTGCCTACGTTTCTGCCGACACCCCACTCTGATTGGCCAACTTTAAACGGCTCTAGCTTGAAGACTAAGCATCTTTGAATAAAAAGAAGATAATTTTTGTGATCAGCGATGCTCCTCGAACATCGTGGTACCCCGTTAGTAAAGCAATTTAGGGACACCCTGTATGTTTCCTCAAAAATAATTTATAAACTTTAACTCCACAGGGAATGACGTTTTATTAGAAGGCTTCAATTTTGTGTACCAAATTAATTGACAGCGCTTTCTGTCCAGATTTTTGGGTGAAGTTTTCTTGTTTCCAGCCTCGTCCGTGTGACAATTCGGCACACACAAATGGCCTATTCCATTATGCTTAACTATAAGAGGGGAATGGAATATTATAAGAACTAGAATTAAATTTATAATTATTCACGTGATGCTACCGTACGATGCATTTAGATAATATGTATTGCATAAAAATATGATATTAGAATTGTGCGACAAATATGTTCCAGATTCATGATGAAGTAATTTGCTATACTGTGACAGATTGAATCAAATAATTTTATCTTACGTTTTGACATACTTTTTTCGGCCTATAACAAGGGTAAACAAGCAATTATTATAAAATAAATTTTGTAATATTTTTTTAAAAGGTAAAACAACCCAATTCACAAAAGCACAAAATCAATTGCTCAGTCTTCATGCGGATGTTAAGGCTCACCAGATTTTGGTGCTCTTATTAAGATTACGACAAGTCTGTTGTGATCCAGCTTTGATACATGCAATGTTAGATCAAGAGACAGAAAGGGTATGGGGAGACAAAAGGGGATGTAGGATAAAGACACAGAAATTGTAGTTGACGAAAGAGTAATACAAAACTTGCTTACTTCAAAAAATCCAGTTTTTAAACCAGAGCGTCAGAGTTCCAAGGTATAGTTCATCCAAATGTATTCAGTTGATTTTATATTGTGAATGTTTTTGTATGGTTCTAAATTCGTAGTTTTTACAGATGAGGAGTGTACTTACCATGGTACAAGAAATTATAAATAAAGGGGATAAAGTTATCGTTGTGTCACAATGGACTAGTATGTTGAATGTTATGGCAATGCATCTCAATAATTTAAAAGGGGCCACTTATAGAATATTCTGTGGAACTGTCGCTGTGAAGGATAGAGAGGTGCAAATAAGTACTACGTTTTTAATTTCACATATTAATATTGAATGTTGATTTACTTGTTTCTCTCTTTCTGAATGTCTAGGAAATAGTAAACGTCTTCAATGAGGAGAATGCTGATCCGAAAATTCTGTTGTTATCTCTCACTGCTGGTGGTGTTGGTTTGAACTTAGTCGGTGGAAATCATTTAATTTTATTGGACGTACACTGGAACCCGCAATTGGAATCCCAAGCACAAGATCGTATATATCGATTTGGTCAAAAAAAGGACGTTTATATTTATAAGTTAGTAATCATGTTTTTACACACAGTGACGTAACATGTGCGGAAGGTCATTTATATATTCGTTACAAAAAGTGATATGTGTACGCACTTACCGTTGTAAAACCGTATTCCAAATTGTTGCGATAACTCTTAAAATATTTCCAGGTATATTTGCAAAAATACGATAGAAGAACGCATAAAACTGCTTCAAGATAAAAAACTTGAGATAGCTGATAATCTTCTGAATGGAGCTGGAACAAAACTGTCTTCAAAACTAACGATCGATGATCTAAAATCTTTATTTAGCATTTAATAATTTATAAATTATGCGTAATAATTTCCACTACTGTAATAAAGACTTTTGTAATTTGAAATACGTGTACTGATTAAAAACCGGCTGTAGTTCCGAAAACCGCATACCTCCGAAAAGTATGGTTTTTTGTGCACAAAAAAATGCACTTATAAATCTCGGGTGTTTCCTTTTTTAATAGCATAAATAATATTCAGACGGATAAAGAAGGCATTACGAAAAAATACCAAAAACAAAATTGCAATTATAAATCTCGGGCATAAAATGATGAGCATATTAAAATGAACCAATTATTTTCTATGGTGAAATGAAACAAATAATGTATCTGGTTAGGGATTTTTGTCATTTAATTTTTATCATTCATGGCTACGGAAAGACAACATTTTTAATACATCGAATTATCAGAAAATTTTGTCGAGGTAGAACATACTGATAGTCCGAAATATTAAAAATAAAATTATCCTTGCGTAGGCATGAATACAAAAAATTGGCTAAATTGAATCAGACTACTCAAAAATGTATGAAACTAAAAATTTCTAAGCAGATATACTATTTGTCTCATCTCATTTTTCACTGCTTTTCCATTCGGCTAAGTATTAAACTATTAAAAGGTGAAACAGCCTGCCATACGTGCAAGTGTTATTAAATTTTTTTTTTAATCAGACCTGCTGCTATCTGCTTAGAAATTTTTAGTATTATACATTTTTGAGTAGCCTGATTCAATTTAGTCAATTTTTTTATTCATGCCTACGGAAAAATAATTTTATTTTTAATATTTCGAACTATAAGTATGTTCTACCTCGACATAATTGTCTGATAATTCGATGTATTAAAAATGTTGTCTTTACATAGCCTTGAATGATAAAAATTAAATGAAAAAAAATCCCTAACTAGATACATTATTTGTTTCATCTCACTATAGAAAATAATTGGTTCATTTTTATATGCTCATCATTTTATGCCCGAGATTTATAATTGCAATTTTGTTTTTGGTATTTTTTCGTAATGCCTTCTTTATCCGTCTGAATATTATTTATGCTATTAAAAAAGGAAACAGCGTACCATAAGTGTTTGTCACAGGTAGGCTCTCGGGAAGAAGAAACGTTCGCTGATTCATGTACCAATTTATTGGATGTATACGATGTAATATAATACAATATTTGTAGATTAATATTATCATGTATTTCATGAAACTTCAGTTAATTAGGTAAACCAATAAGCATAGTTAATAATTAAAAGAAAAGAAAGGTAAGACGTCAGTTTGGAACAGGAGACTCTCGGACGTTAACTCAGCAGCAAGCACATGTGCCATCGAGTCATTGTGGT